TCACACACTGCATATTTCTGCAGACACAATCTTCCTTTTGCTCACAGAACTGTGCTCCAAAATTCATGCTTTTATTTAACCCGCAATTGTTTCTAGCCTGTAGGGTTGCAAAGAGAAACAGCAGCAACATGAATCAAGCATAACCAAGGAACCATTGCCTTCCTGAGTCTGCAGACAGTAAGTGCAGAACCAAACTCTTCATTTCATCTCAATGGGGGTATTGATTTTGAAACCTAGAGATGGCTTTACCACATAGAACAGTGGTTCCCTAACTTTTCGGCATCACGCCCCCTTTTTGATTTTTAAGAAACCCTCACGCCTCCGCCTCCCTCTCCAATAGCAGCAAAACTTGTTGAGCAAAACCAAACAAAGGAACTGACCGGGGCTGAAAAACAGAGAAACAAAAATAGCAGGGGAGGAATTGACCAGGGGAGGGAGACTGGATTGCCTCACGCCCTCCCTGGAATTTCTTCGGGGGGGCACGCCCCCCAGTTTGGAAACCCATGACTGAGAACATGACAAGACTGAAATTTCCCAGTTCTGGGACAAGCAGCAGTGACTACATAACTTCAGATTGAGAAAGTGTTTTCTATACCTCTAGTGAGCTAACTTGACTCTGCACTGCCAGTCCATTAGGACAACAATGATAATGACCCTGGAAAAAGAGACGTAATTAATTGCCCCATGGATGCTGATTACCCGCCAGTTGCCAGGCAGCTAGACACCAGTTTGATTTCAGGAAGGCCAAAGTAGGTGCTACTGCCATGACAATAGCCATCATGCCTGCAGGCTCTAGAGTGTTGTGTGGGGGTGAAGGAGGGAGGGCGGAGCCTTAAGCAAAGTATCCAGTGTGCCAGAAATCACTGAATGACTTTAAGTATTAGGATTTGCATACTGTTTAGGAGCCATCAGTAGAACTCACATGGCCCTACTCTCACATCAGAGGAGCACTGCACACTGGTGACACAAGCTCCAGTATCACAGCCTGGCAGGCATCCGAGCACCTGCATAAGACCATCAACCAAAGCACATGCCAGAATAGGGAAAAATTCTAGAATGGATCAGAGGGAGGGGGAATTATTCATAGAATAATGACATGAATGGTGTCTCTACCCCCCACTGTGATTGTAAGTGTGTAGCCATTGTTACCATGCCTGATGAAACCGCTTCCCATGACACCCACCCACAGAATACCCTTACAGCTATATATTCAGCAGAAAGGTGGCAGAATAGGTTTTCAGGGGCTGAGAGCAAGGCAGAAATACCCATTAACTTGCAATGACAGCATAGGGACAAGCAGAACTGTTATAATATCCGCTTACTGCATAACATATGTGAAACTAAGGGAGATGACTTCTATGAAAAACATAGCAAGGATGCAACCACCAGGCAGCTGACCAGGCATGCAAAGGGTGAGCTACAAGATAGACCCTCACTATGCACATACTTTTCAAGTGCTAACAGACAGGATTTTTGCATTAGGACTCAACCTCAGCGCAGCAATCTCCCTTTGTGGCACAGGTGACCTACAATCATTATCCCCCTTCTCTTAAGGCTCAGCTGGACACCAGTTTACACCTTGATTCGTAGTTTTCACTGGTAGTAGCCACATTGTTTTCAATGGGACTACTGACAAGAGCAGGCACTAGTAAGCATAACGGTGACAGGTTTAGGCCCTTTATTTGAACAGCGTGAGAGGTTATGGCAGAAAGCATTCAGGGTGTGTTGAGGGGCCAATTGGTACAACTAAGAGAATTATGCAGCATTAGAGTGGAAGTAGCACCTGCTTGAGTAGTGATGTGGGAAGAGAATGGTATGGAGGAATAATTCAGTGCAGTATTACAATTAAGAAACAGCAGGTAGGTTGCTTAAGTCAGCGAGAGGGTCTCTTGTAAAGGAATATTTTTATTAAACATCAAAGGTTATATGCCAGCAGCAATATCAAGACATAAAAGCAAAGTGAAACAGATCATAGTGGCCGCGTTGTTTGAGCCACATTTTCCCTTGAACCGTGGTTCATTTTCTTTTGGAATCATCTCTTCCACTCACACTTCTCATTTCAAAAAGTTCTGATTCATTTTCCTGTCCTCCTGGTGGAACCTCCCAGGTCTCTCACAGACAAGCCTCATTGTAGCCACTTTCTCATGCTTGCACATGAATTAAGAGCCCTGGCACATGTTCAGGAACAGGTCTTGTCTGCTCTTCTTCTGGTCTCAAAGATTTGTGAACCTTTTTACCACTGTGGATCTGGTCAACTTCCACCAGCCTGCTCTAGGACTTCTATGCTATTGTAATGGCCACTGAAAGGAGGAGAGTGAACAGTCAAAGCAATAGAACAAAAGTAATAAGTTTCACATCAGTTTCAAACTGTAGTTACTTCCAGCAAGGTAATTCCTTCTCGGTCTGTAGATGGCAAGGACATTGCATTACTATTGATACACCACTTCTAGTAATAAGGGTGGTGTGAATGCTTGTTAATGGGACAGAGGGAGAAGAACCAGGAGTTCTTCTATCTAAATTGGGAAATGTGGCTTAGATCTCTGGCCTACATTATAAACATACAAAATTGCACCAGTGTAACAGTCTGTTTAAATCACACTTTCAGTTAATTCAGAGCAATTCTATATTGACACTGCTAAAATTCACTTAATCCCATCTTACAGATGGTCAGTTTTAAAGCAATGAGTGTCCACGCTAGGGATGTTAAGAACCGTGTAATTCGTTAATCATGTAGTCAACAAAAATTTTGTCAACTCTACATTAATCGATAAGGGTTAGCACTGCAAGTACTCAGTCTCAGCTCACGCTGGGTCCTGGAATCAACCCCCGCTGCAGCTCTGCACTAGAAAACCCTTTAAGAGCCAGCGTGTGGGCAGGCTAGCTCAGACTCGGCTCACACCAGACCCATGCATCAATCCCCACTGTGCTCTGCAATTAATGCAGAGCCGCAGTGGGAGTTCATGCTAGGATCCTGCCTACAAAAAATTTTACTTGCAGAGTGGGGAGGGGAGAGGTGTTGCTTGTAGCCAATAGCATTATCTGACAAGCAGCTGCTTATCAGTTAATCATTTAAATCCACTACAGTATTACATCCCTAATCCACACATGGGGCCTGCAATGGTTTAAACTAAACAGGGCATGTCTGTCAGCAAACACTTCTTGTGGGCCAAAAAGGATCTTGTAAAACGTCACTTTACAATCAGCTCTGGGCACCGAGCCCTAGACCTCTGACTGGGCAGGGCTGATTAATCACCTGTGAAACGGTGCTGCCTTGCAGGTTAGAGGGAACATTGGTCGCAGGCATGGGAAAAGCCAAGGCCTAAGATTAATTGATGTCTATAAATGTAGAGGATTTTACTGCTCATCAAGAGACAGTTGGGAACAGGCAATGCAATTATGATATCCCCCACACAGGCTATGCTGTGTTTGCTTACTCCTTTACTAGTAATATATGCCGGAATGTTTTCCATACATTTAGCAGCAAGGCGGACTGATGGGACATCGCAGGTAGATGAAGGAAGCAAGCTAGTTAGGCAGTCTGCATTGCAGATGGGGCAGATGTGAGATTTTTATCCATGACTCATGTAGCCAGTGTGCCCAGTTGACTAGTGACTATTTGAGTAGTCGACTATTTTGAGCAGTCGATAAGCATAGGCTTATCGGATAGTCGAGTGATTACTCAACTGCTCACTTCTCCCCCATCCCCTGCAGACACACAGCAGTCCCAGACCTCATGAGAGCTGGGACTGTTCAGCACTGGGCTTGTGCTGGCCCCAAGAATTAACCCCGCTGTGGCTCTGCACTTTAAATGCAGAGCCACCACAGCAGTAGCAAGCACCCTCACCCCACCCCAACTCCATTGACTAGCCGATAGAAATTCCATCGACTACTCCATTAGCGTGGTTCAGGCAGGGCCTACGCAGGTGTTTCCACCTTTACTAGGAATAGAAGCTTATGAGGAAAAAGGAAGGAGGGGCACATAGTACGGAACCTGAGAAGTGGCAGGGCAACCAAAACAGCCTAGCTGCTGAGGGATTTGGCAAGTGCTGCAGAGGCATGTGGTTGGGGACTGATTACTAAAATAAGAGGGGGAGGGGAAAAGAAGGACATTTTAAACCTCATCCAAGGTTATATCTTCCCTTCTACATACATCAACAATGGCATCTAGAAGACCCTTTGCCCAAACCCTGTAAATCAGCTCCCCCAATACTACCGTAAGAAGCTGCATACCTTCTGCTGTACGGGGCCCCATCTCTCCTGATTCCTAGTTCTGCCAACTCAGTTTGGCTGTCTTCTGATACTGAGTTCCTGGAGACTGGCAACATGACCAGCAGCTCCAGTGCAGTTCCTTGTCAGGCTGGTCCTTCTTAGAGTTCTCCTTAGAGTCTCCTCAACAATGCATTCCATGTTGCCTCCATACTAGTTAGCAGCAAGACAGGCACAGAGGAAGGATGGAACCATATCATACTAGATCTTGCCTGCCTTCATCTCCTCACAGCTTCTGACATGCCACGTGATGTCCATCTCAACCAGTCACTAAGTTGCCAGGTTATACACTAGTCAAGCTGAGCTGGCCAGGAACTTCTCCACTCCCTAAACAGGCATCAGAGACCACACATCAGCCTCAAGCCTGCAAGCAGTAACCTTGCAAGATGGTCTCCTCCAAGACAAGCTGGCAGAAGAATCAGCTGGTTGCAGAAGCAAGTGATGTTGCTTGCTGTGACAACATGGAACCCCATGGTAACAGTGTATGCAATGCTACTCATACAGTCAGGTGAATCCTAGCCCACTAGAGCCATAGACAGCAGCACGTGGATCTTTAGCAGGAGGACCATTAGCATCAGTAGGGCTAAGACAACAGGAGAGCTCCATCCATAGTAGCACTATCCTTGTTGATACCAGAGAACCAGCATCTGTTGGCTTTGCCAATGGCCATAGCCATGGTGTACTGTCACTGCTGTGTCTGGATGCGACGTGTACCAGGGGCAGCATAGCGGCTAGCACACCAATACCCTCTAGTCCATCACATGGCCATGGAGTAAGAAGAATGAAGTAATACCAGAGAAACCAAAGGCATTATGCTGTGGGTGCCACGGACTTCCCGCCACTCCCCCCCCGACAAGGGTCAGGCTGGGGGCGGGGAGATTAGAAGTAGAAAACTAGTCTGTGTCTCAGAGTTTAGAATTCTCCCACTACAAGCTTGGGAGGGCAAAGTCCCAACCTCCCTCCCACACCACCTCTAAAGGCCCCACGTCAGTTTGGCTGGGACTGACTAAAGCTCAATCCATTCTGTGACTTTTCTGTCTCAGAGACTACAAGATCCCTGCCCATTTTCCTTCTGGGAACAGATTATGCTCCCTCCACAGGACTCCAGCATGGATCAGACTCCAGCCCTGTCTGAAGGCAGAGAGGAAGTGTGGTATCAAGCCTGCCTATCCCACATGGCTTCCCCACCTGCTTCTCACTCATACAGATAGAAGCCAATAACCCCAGGTACCATGACATACTGCACATTAGCAGCAAGGCACAGAAAAAAAGGAGAACTCACATGTTTGAAGCAACTGACAGGGGCAGCCTTGTAACCATGGTCCTGCAGGTATTTTCCCCAGTCAAAGCCCAGGACAAGGGCTGCAGGAGGACATAAAAGAAGACTGTCAGCATCAGCTGGTTCTGAAGAGGATGGAGAACACATAGCCCGTCTAACGCACAGCTTCTTCATCAACCCCCACCGCACTTACCATCTTGACCTGTCAGGGTTCCATCTGCCAGTTGCCCTGTCCCCTGGGAATGGAGGAATGCCCCAATTTTGGCAGACCATGCTGCCTTGTGCAGGACTTTAGCCTTCTTTGTAGGCGGTTTGCCCTGCAGAAGACAAATAGAGGAGATTGGGATCTAGAGGCACAGAGATAACATGTTCCTGAAGGCAAGGTGCAGACATACCTTCCTATCTCTGGCTTAAGAAGAGTGGGACCCTTTGGTAGGGATGAAAGCGACTAATCAACTCGTTGACTATCCGATAACAAAAGCAAATCGGATAGTTGACACGCTAGTCAACTAGTCTCCTCCCGCCCCCGCTGCCTCTATCAGAAAGAGGCAGTGGGGGCACGGGAGAGGAGGGGATGCTTGCGGGAGCCGGTTCCTTCCAGCTCTGTGGGAGGAGGCAGGGGTGCAGCAGCAGCATTCTACCTTTGAAATGTACAAGAGTCCCCACTGCGGCTCTTGTACATTTCAAAGCAGAAGCACTGAATGGAGCCTGGCGCCAGTGGGGAGACTCAGAATACCCCAATGGCCCCAGGTGGCATTTCAATCTTTGAAATGCACAAGAGCCCCTGCTTGGGATCTTGTACATTTCAAAGGTGGAACGCTGTGCAGCACTTCTGCCTTTGAAATGTAGCAACAACCGGGCAGGCTCTTGCTATATTTCAAAGTGGAAGCACCCTTACCGACTAATCGAACAGTCGATGGAAATTCTGTTGACTACTCGATTAGTTGATTAATCTAATTTTTACACCCAGGATGTCCTTGTACCTCTCAAAGAAAGAATGGAGGCATCGAGACCCTCCAGCAAGCATTATCTAGTCCTTATTAGCAGATTGTTCCTTTTTTCCCCCACACGCTCATCCCACTTTGATTCCAGAGTTTACTGGGTGGGTATCACTCACCTGCAGTCTTGCGAGGATGCTGGCTTTCTTGGAGTTTGAAGAGTAGCTCCTGGAGCAGGAGACACTGCAGAAGCGTTTGGTCTTTGAGAAGAATGCTTCCCTTGTGCCCACGATCCCACACATTTCACACACAGCTGAAGCAGAGGAAGATGCACAGAATGTGAGCTGAGGGTATTGCATTAACCCTGCAAGGCCTAAGCTAAAGCCTGCAACGCTACAGTACCAGGAAGAAGAACTAGTTTGGCTAGTCCCAGCAGAACCCTGAGCACCTCTTGACATAACTCAGAGTGCAGAACACAATCACTGGGCTGTCGCAGTCCCACTCCCTAGGCATGTGTATTAAGCAAGACCACCACACATATCCTGAAGCACAGTACTGCTTTCAAATGGATCCATACCAGTTTCTAATCAGCTATACACACTGCATGCAATAAAGAGGCACAACGGTACCTGGCTCAGAGCCACTGTCCTCCATCAATCGGCCTGTGGTGGGCGGATGTAGCTGCAGAGGGGAGGTGGGCAGCTCCCCAGCTTCACGATCAGCCACATCATCATCACTAGATTCATCCAGGCAGGAGCTGCTGTCACTGCCCATGCTGCTGTTGTAACCCCGGAAGCTGTCATAACCCCCAAAGAGGTCCAAGTTGTCATCGTCATCGTCTTCATCCTCCTCGTCCTCATCCTCCATCCGTTCCAAAGATGACGTCTTGTAGCAGAAGGAAGACAACAAGAAGCAGAGGAAACCACTCTTCAGAGCCAGAATTTGCAATATAGCCTCAGCACAGTAGGGCTCTCCCATGAGGCGTAGGGAGGGGAAACCTGATGTGCCTGTTAAGGTAATTCTACCCCAAAATCAGGTGTGACTCATTTGGGACAACCCCCTCAACCTGAAGCAAATCCTTTCCAGCAGCCAACATCATCACACCTCATATGCTTACCAAGGAACCTGCCCTTGCTACAAACCCCATTGCCTACTCTGTCCATACATACAAGTGACACCATCATAAGCCCTAACCACAAAAGCCACAACTTCAGAGGCACATCCTCTAATGCGATATATGCCATCAAGTACCAGCAATGCCCCTCTGCAATGTATATTGGCCAAACTGGACAGTCTCTACAACAAAGGATAAATGGACACAAATTGGAAATCAGAAATGGTAACATACATAAAACCCGTCATGTCTCTCAATCAAGGATTTAAAAGTAGCCATTCTTCTACAAAAGAATTTCACTAACCAATTACAGAGAAAGTCTGCAAAACTGGAATTCATCTATACATTTGGCACCTGTTACCTTACTCTAAACAAAGACATTAACTAGCTGGTGCATTACAAAGCCAATTTCTTCTGTCATTAACATCTGCATTTCCACATCAAAAGCTACGTATGGGAGAAATCCAAATTAGCCTCAGTAACATAGGTCCTACAACTGACAGGTGGTACTTCTGATGTGTTTTTATCTATATAGGTTTCTGTTATTTCCACTCCAATTCATGTGATGAAGTTTTGCCCCCAAAAGCTCATGATTCTATATATTTTGGTTATTCTCTAAGGTGCCACAGGACCACTTGTTTTTATGGTCACTGGCCCTTTTCTGCTCTCAGGTGGTAAGTTAGTGGCATACGCTTTTAGGGCACAGCTATTCAACAAACGGGCTGCAGTCCGTTTGTTTACAGCCCATAGTGTGGTTTGGGTTTATGTGGAGCTCAACACATGGCCCATGGGTGGGATCCTTTGAACATGGCCTCCACTGGGAACATGCTCCACAATGGCAAGGCATCTCCCAGGCAGGATGAGCACTGAAAGATGCAAGCAGACGGGCTGGCTAGAACAGACGAGAACAGGGTGTCAGGAGGAGGTGCCGGGAGCACCGGGGCATTGTGGGAAGTGCTGGTTGCTTAGCCTTGTGGGCAGAGCCTGAGAGGTGCTGACTGGTTTACACTGGCCACATTTGGGTCCGGTGCCGCAGCTTAAGGCTTAATCTTGGTATTTGTGCCAGTCAGTGTGAAAGAAGCTATTTGCATATATATGCAACCACACTTAAGTTGCAGCCCTCGACATGTGCTGTGAGTATCATTGTGGCCCTCAAGGCTTCCAAAGTGGAGTAGCCCTGTTTTAGGGTCTGAGCAAAACTTCAGCCTCCAAACATTGTACTTTACATTGCTTTCCCTATTCTTCCCTCCCCAAAATAAGAACAATCACATACATGCTGGGACACAGAGAAACAGATTCTGCCTTGGAGTAAAAATGATCTACAGTAAAACTCTGATGGTCCGGCACCATCAGGAACCCGGAAGTGCTCCAGGCACCCGGACCATTGGAGCTGCTCTGCCCCCAGCTTCCCCAATTCAGCTGCTGCTAAAACTGACCAGCGGCTGAATCGGAGAAGCTGGGGGCAGAGCAGTTGGAGTGCTGCCCGGTAGGTCCCATAGCGCTGCCCCTTGGGGCTGCGGGACCAACCGGCAGCACCCCAGCTGCTCTGCCCCAGGCATCCCCCAGAGCAGCTGGGGTGCTGCCGGGTTGGTCTCCAAGGGGCGGAGCTACCGGACCAACCCGGCAGCACCCCGGCTGCTCTGCTGCAGGCGTCCCAATTCAGCTGCTGCTGAAACTGAACAGCAGCAGATTAATCGGGGATGCCTAGAGC